AGTGCATAGCAAAGTCAGCATGAAGCAAGGACTTGGAGACAAAACTTCTTCACAGCACTATATCACCTGAATATAAAAATGGCCATCTTCCCCTCCTCCCCTCACAAATACAGGTGAATATTTTGTATTTTACCAGCTCTCCCATAAAGAGAGACCAGAAGTCACAATTCCCATGCCCAAAACGCACCAGCAAAAAAAAAAAAAAAACCCCAATTAAAATGAGTCTGGCTTACTATTTGCTATCTTTTGGTTTTCAGAGAAATCAGTTGTTATTTCCTAAATTAATATCTAAGTTAGATGCTAAAAACAGATTTTCCCAAGATACTAAACATCTACAGTTCCTGCTGAGGCTGCATCTGATCAGTTGGCCATTGGACCTACCTTCCCTAAAATCAAGCATCTCTGGTGATGAAGAAAGCAGTGAAGAGTGAAGGGAACACAATAACGTAGAATTAACTTTTTTAAACTATGGCCATTGTACTAGTACAGGACTTGGAAAAGCTGACATACTGAAAGCCCTTTCAAACCTATATTCTGTAAATCTGTAACATTATTAGTGTATTTCAATATATCACTTTCTCTTGCTTAAAAAGCCACAGGGATAAAGCCACATAATTTCCATGTCAATAGGTTGATGTAAAGCAAAAAATTATACACGCAAACATCTTCAGATTGAGAAGACAACTCTAACATGTAAATACTTCACTGAAACACCAGAAGAAAAATAAAGCAAAACAAGGACTATCTAAACCTTTTTGTACCTAAATTCTTTTGGAAATCACACCCCTTATAAAGTGCCTCTTGTCTGTAGCTAATGCCATTGTCTACAGTACTTGGCATGAAAGCAGGGTTAGCTGTTTTACTAGCCTAACTCACATGAACAGAGTGCAACCAGCTCTTGGACTGACATTTCCTATGCTTGCAGAAAGGTTGGGAATTCCTGCTTTTAAATTTGAACAAAATATCCTCAGACATCCCGAACTCTGATAAAGCAACAGCCCAAATGCCTTCTCTTAAAATATATGCATGTATATTGCATACAAATACGTATTTGTTCCTAAGCCAAATTTGAAGGAAGCACCTGAACATAAACCCTGACATCAGAACAGTTTTCCCTGAATTCTACGTACGTAGAAGTTTCAAATGCAACAGTTATCAACGATAAAGAATTGCTCCTAAACAAGCTCACGCGGCATGACTCTTCGTATTCACACACAGGCTGGAGGAGAGGGCAGGCAGCGCCGGTGGGGCAGTATTCCCAACACTGTGCCAGCCGATGGCAGTTAACTGCCACCACTCCTTATCTGTGTTTAATTAGTCAACATAAGTCATTAAAGGTACATTCTAATACAATTTCCAGCACAGACAAATGTGATAAAAATTAACTTCTCCAGCTCAGCAGGGACATGTTGCAAAGCTGTATCATTACTTACAGGCAGTTTCTTTTCTCAAAGTGAATGTCCAATAGCACACCCATTCAGTTTTTCCACGCGCACACAACAAACACGTCCCAGTCTCTCTTCCCTTTTTCAATATACTGCTTTAATCTATGGTAGCAGCACTGACAAAGGATACATTGGAATTTAGACCGTTTGATGGGGCTAAACAAAAGGGAAATTTAGATAGTAAAATAAAGAAATTAAATTTGAAATATCATGATGTTATGGTGAATAGCAAATTACAAACTCAAGTATTAGACAAATGTATTGCTGGGAAAGGCTGTAAGCAAACTTCAAAACGCATCATCAGCTTGAATTTAAAGTCAGACTGCTCTTACCGCAAACACTGGTATATTATAGACGAACTAGCTTCAGTTTATGCACATTAACATTTAATATATGTTGTCCCCCTCATCATGATGTTATGGTGAATAGCAAATTATAAACTCAAGTATTAGACAAATGTATTGCTGGGAAAGGCTGTAAGCAAACTTCAAAACGCATCATCAGCTTGAATTTAAAGTCAGACTGCTCTTACCGCAAACACTGGTATATTATAGACGAACTAGCTTCAGTTTATGCACATTAACATTTAATATATGTTGTCCCCCTACACAGTTAGGTACCGTTTGCTATATTTGTGTTATGTTTATCCAAAGGCATTTCCAGTATATTAAGAACAAAAAAATTTGCTAAGTAAGCAAAGTGAAAGAGTTAACCTAGAGAAAATTCAAAGTATAGAAAGATAGGGAAATCTTCAGAATGAAGTGAGCAAATATATTTGAATCCAGACAATATAAGAAAATGTTAGATTATCGTGGGAGATTGGCTATTAACAACATGGAAATGGCAGGGAAAGGGGAATGGAAATGCCAACGCAATAGCATGTCGCTAGAGATGAACAACAACGGGACATTCCCAAACACCTCTCCAACACTTGGTAACTTTGAGCAGCTGCAGAAGGTAAGACTGTTTTGTTTGTCCAAACCATAGAGAAGTACAGGGTCATTAACAACCATTAAAATGTAGATAATACATTTTGCATAAAGCACAGCTTTTTTCTGCACTTAGTGGAATTGGAGCAATTCCTATAATGTGCACAGCCAGATATTCTACCAGTTAATTCACAAGTTTGGGATGGATCCTGTATCGAGCACTACATATGCAAACAACAGCTTTGTTCATCACTACTAAAGTACAGATTTAAATTTACATTATATTCAATTAAATCGTACAACATCATGCCACAACAGCAACAACGATTGACCTGTTGATTGTGAAGTCCTTGAAAAGCTGCTCAGTAATGGTGTAACAAAGATTTCTTTTTATTTTTTTAAACTTAAAGGTGAAAAAAGTGCTCATTTTGCCATGAGTAAACACACAAAAAGATATTGAAACAACATTATTAACATTTCCAACACTCCTCTCACACCAATTTAATAAAAAGTCAATTTAATTGATTGAATACAGGACTGGGGGAAGAAGGCGGGGGGATGATCTCATAAATGCCTGAGCTTACCAACACTTAAATAAAGCCAGGAAAGAACTTCTTTCTGTATTTTGAATGGTAAGAGAAACAAACAGATTAACTTTCTTGAGTTATTTATGAACAGCTTGCAGCTTCAATCTAAGTTTCAGACTTCAATTGTGAATTTTAAATTTAACAACGTCATAGACCTTTTACATGTTTTTGGAAATTTTTGGGACCCAGGTCACGATGATATACAACGCATAGGTATCTTTTATAAATTTCCCAGGTGTTAAATTAAAAAATGAGGTGTGATGGATGTGAGTAGTATACACAAATTGTGCTTTTTTAGGTCAGCGCTGTCACATCTATTTTATAATTATATGCTTTAAAGATTTATTAAAAGGTATGGAGAACAATGAATGCATTTGAAGCTATACAATACAAAAAGCTAGATGCATTTTTTTGGGGGGGAAAAAAAAAAAAAATCATCAATGTGAGAAGATGAGTATTCCTTAAAACAGAAGGTTTCCATAAGGGGGGAAAATGAAAAATGGTATTTCTTGGAAATTACTGTTTATAAGTTAGAAATACATATACGAGAGTTGAAAGCTTAACTAAAGAAAAATATGTATTTATTACAATGCATATGAAATACTGAAAATTTGCCTTTTTGTGTGACAAACTGACAAAGTTTTAATGGTAAAATTAAAATAAGATATAGAAATTAATTAGGATTACAAACCTTAACACAGACTACCACTTTAGAGCATTCAATTGTTATTTTAATAATCTGAAGACAAATGAAAGCACCCAAAGAACATCCAGTATGTTATATCTCAGTATCATTATTCATTTATAAATTTATTATCATTACCATAATCCTACTACAGTGTAAGGTTCTTGGGTAATGTTTTCACATGTAGTGTAAGTGCATCAAAACCGATGCAGCTCTTCTAAATAACCATTTGGAGACTGGGTGAAGAGAGGACAAAAACCTCTGCATCAAACCCAGCGAAAAGCAGGGTGTCCTGCCACACCATGCCACCATGAGGACCTGCGACCTGCAAGGTGGCAAGGAGCAAGACGGACCTCGGTCTAAGTTACACCACAGGTCAAATCCACAGCAACTTCTACAGGGGAAAACCTAAGAAGTGCATGTCAAAGCTGTGTATTGAACACTATTGGATTAGTAAAAAACAAAACAAAAAACCCCAAAGAAGTGGAACTCCTGTCCATTTAGGAAGATCTGTATCTCTGAGCTTTAATGTGGACTTAGGTACAACAGTTGCAAAGAAGGCAGGATAGAAGGAATGATCTTCTCATCTTCGGTACAACAGGACAACAATTTCCTTAAAGTTTTAGACCTGCCATGAAACTATAGGATTTCTCAAATTTTTACTGAAATTAAAGGTTCCAAAATTAAAAATAGTTACCAAGACATGCATCTTGACCTTTCTTCTTAGTAGGGCTAGACTAAATAGGAATGTTTCTCTCTGTAGGGAACTAGGTATGTAGATCAGCCTCTTGATCTGAGCCTTTTGGAAAGCTTGCTACATATTTCTGCTACCATACATGCACTTTCAGTTCAGTGCAAAAAAAAAAAGAAACAAAACCAAATTTTTGAGAGCACAGAATGGAGAGCAGCAGCAGCAAGAGGACAAACGCATGAAGTCTGAGTGCTGGTTGTCCGTTGTCCAACTGCAAATAAATAAGTATAAATATATACATGCACTAATTCAGTTCAGTGCTAAAAAATAAAGAAACAAAACCAAATTTTTGAGAGCACAGAATGGAGTCTCAGTAGCAGCAGCAGCAAGAGGACAAACGCATGAAGTCTGAGTGCTGGTTGTCCAACAGCAAACAAAAATTACTTATTTTTATCTCCTTAAAGGGATTTACTAAGTGCCAGTGATGATGCACACCAGTTTCATCTTAACCAGAAATTGAAGTGAGCTATGGAGAAAGGGACTTAGCATTCACCAAACAGAAAAGGATAAAATTACTATCTTGATAGGTTTCATTTTTCCAATATTACAAAAGTTAAATACATTTTTGAAGAATATAATTTTACTTATAATAGCAACACTTACCAGCTGCCTCAAGAACCAGCTGTAATCTAGCTTTGGCTTGTTCAGCAGGAGTCTGAAAAGAGAGGATTTATAAATCTTCATAACCGCACATTCAACACACAAGGTCACACGTTACCAACTACGGCACTGCCATCACCAGCAGTGAGCTCTCACCTCTGTGAGTTACTCAGTGCTACATGCCATCCAAAGAAACTTCCAGACTGAAATGAGTACTATCATATTTGAGTTAGAAACTATCAGGTAAACTTTCAGAATTGACAGAAAATACAATCCCAGTTAGGTAGCGCTGTGGCACCCTGACCAACCTGAGCACCCACAGCCACGGCCAGGCTGAAGCCCACCTGAAGCTCCTTTCTCAGTCCTCCAACAGCAAATCCTCCCCGGCTCCTTGGTGACCCCATTACACAGAAATACATGGCTACACAAGCATTCTCAAATCTGGGTTTAATATGATTAATATGGTGAGTTTTTCACACTTCTTCTGTTATCTGGTTTGATTTTTTCCTCTCCTTAAGGTATTTCTTCACATCTGTTGGGTTGAGGAACATATTGTTGGCTGTGTACCCACTATGCTAATTATTCCAAGTGATGTTTTACTGTGTCCAATGTGCTTGCCATCCCTCTAATTTTGAAGCCGCTCAAACGTTTTCACAGTTAAATTTATACACAAACCACATTTGCCATGGAGTTCAGAAGTTGATTATTTCTGTAAGCTTCTGAAAAGTTTGGGAGGTTTCTGCTCTGCACTAAACCCAAAACATGACGGGAATTTTTGGTGTCATTGTTCAGCTTTGAAAACTCTTCTAGGCAGATATCGCTGCTGGAACATTTTTTCCGATAACCGGTCTAAGTTTACACCCTTCCAGTTTCACCCCATTAGCCTTATAAATATTAATCAAGGTAATCAGGCAAAGCTCTTCGCTATGAATGTCCCAACTGTAGGGCAAAAGAGTTAGCTTTTCTCAAAATCTCTTTCAACCAAAGACATCTCAGATTGCATTGTGCGTGATATCACAGATTACAGCACAACTGATATTGTATTACTATAAAATATAATCTGCATAAAATGGCCTTGTATTCTGAAAAATGCACTGTCATAATTTGAGAGAGTGAGAGCTTACAAAGTTTCTAGTTTGAATATCTGTAATACTGTGTGCAGAAGCACACAGATTCTTCTACTAATTAATGAGAAAGCCATTTTCTGGTTTTGGGGGGTTTATTTCTTTTTATTTATTTATTAATCCTTTGTTTTACATTATGTCTGCACCTATTAAGAGAGGCTAACTGATGGCAAAGAACAATTCGATTTCTACTACAAGAATTTACAGACTGCTCCTTTCATTAGCATGCAATATGAAAGATGTTACATTAATCCACAGATTAATTCCTGAAAAAGGAAATTTAAATGAAGATCTAGATTTTAGTTGTATAAAGGTTTAATATTTTTTAGGTTAGAATTTTGCTAGCTGTTTGCACAAACCCAAAATTATCGGGCAAAATTTATTATTATAACTACTATACCAATGCTACCATCAGTGTTGACCACTAATCTTGGTGGCAGCAAGAAAAATCTTGAAATTTATTGTAAAAATATCTTCAAATTTCTTCCTCTTGCAATGAACTAATTATTACAATATGTTTTGGCATATTAAATACGTTACTAGAGGAAAGAAAGGAGAGGAAGAAAGGATCTGCTTTCCTTCCAGAACAAACTTGCCCAACTTACTAAGTTTCAGAAAAGCTGTACTTGGGTTTGTGGTTTTTCCATTCCTATGAAAACTTTAGATATAAAAGAAAAAATCTCCAGCGTTACTTTAGTATGGCAAAATACTGCAGCACAATTTAGCAGAGAAGGAAAAAAGTTTGGTGTAAAAATACTACCTGCACTCACATCTTCACATGAAGAGTCCAAGTGTTTGTGCAACCCCACCCATCAGTTGGGTTCTGGCATCCAGTAACACTTACAGTACATTAAATCAGTTTTCTATATTCGTTTTGTCCATTCTATAATAAAGTGTTTGATTAACTTAACTGATCCACCACTCTGACTGGGCCACAGTGCATCCCCACAGCCTGAGCAGTTTGCACGAGCATCCTCCCAGGCTGTGACTCACTCCTGCAGGCTGCCCAACGCAGGCAGCAGCACGAGCCGATGCATTTCTAAAGCAGCTGTTTTCTATAGGACTCAAGTGTGTCTCAAATGCTATGGGACTGGTTGTGTTGAGAGATAATTTTCTATTCTTACAGCAGTTATCCAGTTAGATATTTGACAAAAATGCCTAGGTCTCTCAAATAAAAGGATGTCTTTTTGGATGTGGAACAGTCTGTTTAGCACTACAGATGGGAGAAAGATGTTTCACTGACATTATTTCACTGATGTTATTTCCATATTCAAAGCCTAAAGCAGCAACATCTAGCACCACCATACCAACAATAATTCCCTGAAAGAGCAAATATTAAAGCAGGCTCCAGATGGAGGAGAAGGGAAAGCAACGAGCAGCAGTACAAGTGATACCTCCCAGCACTAACCATGAAGCTCCACCAATACTGACACAACTGCTCCCCCTGCTCTGATATGCTCCACACACCTCAAAATGCCTTTTCACACTCCTCTCATGTAGGTATGAATGTAGCCTGTTGGTATAAGGTAGGTTAGACTATAATTCTTCTTTTACTCAGAAATATCCCATTGGAAACTGCACATGCAGTTGCTTTGCAGGCATCTTCCCCTTTGCCCTGACCACAGCCCTAGCACTAACTGATACCCAGTTGCTTCATGGACATTGGTATACCCACAGGAGAACTTGGTATAGATGCCTTTCTATTATCAATCGATATGCCCTGAACAACAAATGGATGAAGAGTTCTTAAATAAAGGTTACTAGCTTGGCTCCAGAAAGCATTTGTCCAACTGGTGGATGAGGCCAACGCTCTGAGAAAATGGACAAAGATGAATTCATCTGAAAAATCACAATTAGACCCCCAAACAAGCCGTTAGCAATGTGTGAGAAAGACAGACTACTGGAGGTTAGTATTGATTTAGAAGACCATTAAATGACAAAATTCAGAAAGGCCCTCAGGAAACTTAAAAATGCTGAAATGATTGGTGTAGGAAACATTATCAGAGTGATGTCTAGCACAAGTTGCAAAATAAACCCTCATACTTTCCTTAAGGTCTTAAGCATAACACAGAAGGAAAAGAATTCAGAACAGTGTAAAAATAAATAAATAGAACCAAGTATTTATAGTACCAACTGATGAAGGTGACAACTAACTGTAAAAGCAGGAAAGGAATTCCCTAACAGGCATATCATAGAATAACACGAGGCGTGTCAAGCATCCCTAACGATGAATTTTACATATGTCAAAAAGTGTCTGGTAACACACTGGAATTATGCTTTAGAAAACTATGGTATTCTACAGGATACCATAAAACAGAAATATTAATAACAATTATTAATCGCATGGACACCTCACACAAAAATTTGATTATATGTATTCAATTTTTAATGCAAGCTTTTTTAGGAAGATGTGGCACATCCTTCTTGCATTTCTTTGCAGTATGTCTACTGCATTACATCGCTATTGCTTTCATAAATAGTATGTTTTTTATTAAAACTTCACTAAAATCAGTGTCTCATAACTTTAAAATTGCTGCTTATTGTGTAAAAAAAAAAAAACACCCACACAAGTTGCTTGCCACTAGTAGCTACAAGGAGCAAGTGATGTGCTTGATGGACAGCTTCGGACATGCCATCAGTGTAATGTTTTGCTTTCAAAATATTCAGTTGTAAGGGGGATTCAGCTTTTTAAATTTTACCAAAATAATTAACAGGTTTGAAACAAATGCTTCAATTCAGCTATTAGATCTTATTTTTGAAAATCTTCCTGCTACTTGTGATGCATGATAAAAATTTTTGACTGAGAAAACAATATTAAAGTAAAAATAAACCAGAAAATTGAGGAAAAATTTTGAGAACAATTAAGCTTAAAAAGAGAGTCTGAACTTCCATTTGAACTAATGACTGTGAATATTGTTAAATAGTGCATGTGGCTCTTGTCAATATTGGAAAACATTACATTATCACAAGATTCAAGCAGTTAATGATGCTAAAGTATTTCGAGTTGCAACACTCTCTTACCTAATTTTTATGAATATGGAAGTTTCATATAGAATGTCACTGATGTTTATTGCTTCTGCTAAAACTGGACATGTTCAATTCCTTCTATTTATCACTAATGATGTTGGTTGCGTATAATTTAACTACAGGACTTTTCTCTCTGATATCATCTCTATAAAAGCCTAACAAACCTTAGTGTGATAGTGATTGATTTTTGTGTTTCGTTTGGGGTTTTGTTTGTTTGTTTTTTTTTTTTTTGTTTTTTTTTATACACAAATGTTTTATCTGTGCATTTGATAAAGACAAAACCAGTGGTCCTTAAGCCCACTACATCTCTGCTAACAGAGATGAGTGACAGCCCCTAAGTGCCATGCTTCCCACAGCAAACATGATCGACATTGCTTAGCTGTCTTAGATACATGTGCTGCCTGAAATTATAATTCAATGTTCTACTTGCAGAGAGAATGTAGGAACAAACGTTTTATCTTTGCATTTGATAAAGACAAAACCAGTGGTCCTTAAGCCCACTACATCTCTGCTAACAGAGATGAGTGACAGCCCCTAAGTGCCATGCTTCCCACAGCAAACATGATCGACATTGCTTAGCTGTCTTAGATACATGTGCTGCCTGAAATTATAATTCAATGTTCTACTTGCAGAGAGAATGTAGGATATCAAATTTAACAAAAATAGTCAAGATCGTAATTTAAAAAGATTTTGCACTTACTGATAAAACCAGAATTTCCTACAGGCATTATATTACCTTAGAAAACTATGACGCTATAGATCTCCTAACTTTGCAAGCTAGTTTGTTTATACCAATTGAAATGCCTTAATGTTACTTCTCCCCCTGTCCCTGAAGAAAAGGCTTGTGTCCAGGTTTCTTCCTGAAGACGACTCACAGCCTCATGGCCAAATGCCATTATAACAG